GTCAGGCACAAATGACTAATTTGCCCTTCTTACTAAAATCCAAATTCTTTTTAGGTTTGACATCCGCCGAAAATTCGGCAGCGTCTCCTCTGTAAACTGAATCTTTTCCCAAATTTTCACCTGTTGGAAAGCATACATATAAAAAAGAAAACATCACAACCGCCAGCATGCTTTCAATGTACATCCAAACAACTTAACCAACTAACCGGCCTGAGGCCATACAGAAGATCTTTGGGCAAATCTTCAGAGCAACTAATTCAGAATTTAAGATAACAGTATAAATACAAAAAGAACTCCTACGTAGCGGAGGAGATGGATGGAGGAAAGTGACGGCCCTGTGGTGATGTCCCCGTACACGACTACTGCCTGGGGGCGCAAAACATTGAAAAACGTGAGTGGACAAAAATAAAGTTTTAGAACATAAGGTATCAACATACTAACCCCTCTGTTAAAACATTTAGAAAATTTAATCATATCCATGTTCAATATCCGTATGAAAATTCAGGCATGCAAATCCTCATACATATAGCTGAGCATATATTCAGTGAAACATTAACAAAATATCTGAGATTAATAAAGGGAAACAATTTCCTTCCACCTATGTGTACCCATCATAAATCCGTCAATTCCATAATTTCCGTCAATTCCTCCTAGCAGGTCTCGGTAGCATAAAGTTACTCGAGCCGCATTCCTTGCAAGACTCAGAGGACACTTGGTCCACCCGAGCCGCATTCCTAGCACCACAAAGTTTGAGCGTCCCCGAACTTGTGGGCAATTGTCAAACGCACGCTGACTCATCTGAAGGCAACTGGGATGTCCTTGGACATCATTATAATCGAAAGCAACAATTTATCTGAAGGCAACATTTTTGGGTACCTATGGTGGTTTAAAAACAAAATACATGCCCTTCCTGGAAATTACCATTTTATTCCTCAACCAATCATTCAATATGATTAAAACCTCATTTCTTACTTTCCAAGCCATTTGCATTTAAATATAATAACATATAATCGAGAACATATATATAATTTCATTATTCCTGCTCGGAAAGTAATAGCCATAAATAAATCCTTCAAGATCAAATATTGAAACTTTAATAACATAAAATCCATTTATAAAACAAAAGTCCACTCACTGTGCGTCCGAGTTGCTCTGACCCTTTGAGGGTCCCTCCTTTGAATCAGCTGGTACCCGAGTACCTATTTAAGCCATCATAAATATTAAATCAATAAAATTGCTCAACACAATAATTTAATTTAAAGCCCTGACCCCCGGCTTCTAAAAGTGCGTGTACTAGTTTAAGACCATTCTTATCGAGTACGCTGAACCGGTGTACCATAATCCTTGAATCTTTCTGCAATGCACAAAGAATTCCCCCTAGGAGTAAAACTCCCAAACAACACTTGATAACGAGAGAGGAGTTTGTTTCAGTTATACTCTGTCCGAGAGGTCTAAACTTATTGAATAACCACTAATGTTGGATATGTTGTAGAAAACAGGAAACTGAACAACTTTCAAGAAGAAACCTTGGTCATCTGAATAAGGGAAATCGACATCCAAGAGTGAGTAAGGTGCTGTAGCATTTAAACAGCAGACTAGAGGACTTACTAACTTTGAACAAGGTTTCAGATGGTTATAGAACTTAAATTGCTGTGAATTTTGGATATGTCATATTTCTATAACTAAGGAACAACCTGTATGAAGAAAGTGTTGTCGACTGATCAATAGAAATTAACACACAAGAAAGAATTCGAGCCTACCTCAATACAGCAGAACAAAATAAGTAGGCAACACTTCAACCAGCCTTGAGATGACTACAATTCTTGGATGAAGCTCCAATTTTGACAGATTATAGGCAAGACAAAGATGAACAACTTTGATGAAAGGAACGAAGCCACTAGATCAGAGAAAGGCCACATGCAAGAGTGAATAAGGGCACACTAGAGTGAAACCAGCAAACAGAATGAAAGTGAAGACTAGTCTCACCTTAAACACGATTTACAGTAGATAGAAATCTCCGTTTGCCTTGGAATTCGGATATGTTTTAGATGTCGACCTCAGAAACAATTGTTATGAAGGAATAGAGGTAAGAATCGCAACAGAAACCCGCATGCAAAGAGAAATCCGTGCTTAACACAGAGTATCAGACAGAGATGAGCTGTTCATACTCCAACTGGGGTTTGAGGTGTTTATATTTCTCCGACTTGGCTAATTTTCGGATATGTTCTACTCAAGAGGCAGACGAACAAGTTTGAAGATGGAACTATTTCGTTTTGAGCTCAGGAAGTTGATGCTTTGGACCTGTGAACAGATCAGTAAGTCTGGAGGAGGTTCTGTCGGTTTGGGATTATTATGGGTTTATGGGACTTGTGTAGAATGAATAGAGAATATTGAGGGAATTTGTTGGGCTTATCAGATTTGGGGTTCAACAATAACAGACGTGTCAGGTGAATAAAAACAGATTTTCTGGTTTTCTAAAAACCATCTTTGAACTGTTTACAAGTTTGCCACCGGACAAATTCCTTTATCGCAACTTTTTCGTTACAACTTCGATTCGAGCCCACTACGTGTCTAAAAACTCATTTCGACGTGCTCTACATAATGGTCCAATAGGAATTTTCAAATTCCTTCCCGGTCAAAAAGTCAACTTTTATACTCGTTAAAATATTCCAGGGGCAAAATAGTTTTTTTCTAGAATAAAATAATAATTGAAAATTAATTAAGGATCGAGTTGTTACAGTATAGCCACAAAACATCTATGATGCCTCAAGTCTAAGGATTAGTTTGCACCATTGCAATTTAAGAGTTCCAGCTTGACATGTGAGTAAAGACGTCCATACGGGGCAAATCAACACAGCCATAAGTAATAAATTCTTGTGAAAATAAACAAATTTTCAATGCCAACGAGAAAAAATTAATTCATGGGATACTTACTCTCTAATGTATGAATCACCTTTCTCACAAAGGTCCACAATCTTAGCTTTCAGTTTGCATTCGGATATTACCAATTGCAGAGCCTCTGCAAAAATTTCCCAAATGTAATCAATATAGTCAGCGATAAAAGTAAATTAATATTCAAAAGTGTAATATGTATGTATTTGCGACTGTTATAAATGAGAGAAAAAGCGAGGAAGGAGGCTACTTGATTACACAATAAATCCAATGACCCCCAAAACAAAACAACTCAACCCTAATTTTAAAAATCCCCAATTGAGATGAGATGAGATGAGATTTAACTTACCACCAGACAGAGGCGCCGACGACGAGAAGAACGGCTGTGACGTTGACGACCAATGGATGTGAGAGGAGGAGCAGTGACTGAGGAGAGTGGAGGAAGAATTGGAGGCGCTGTTGTCGATGGCTGACACAGAGTTTGAAAGGGAGGAGAAAAAATGTGTCGCTAGAGAAAGAAAGCCCTGAGTGTTGAGCTGTTAACACGGGCTGAAATCGAGTGTATAAGTTCTATTTTAACTCTTTGCAACCTCCAATTATATGACACCATTTGTATTATATAAATAAATTAATATATATTTAATTATGCCCAGTTCGGTTCGGCGCAATCCGATTTTTAGAGTTGAAGAACCGGAACTGGAACTGGACAGCACCGGTCCGGTTCGGTTTTTTGCACTGGTGTTGACTTTTTGGTCAACACGGGTTTTTTTCGATTTTTTTTCAGCCTGGTTTGGTTCGGTTGTCCGGTTCTTCGGTCCATATGCCCACCCCTAGTCAGCATTTGGCAGCAACTAGGGCCCAATCTGTCTCTATGGTTCTATCAAGATCTTTATATATGGGGCAAGCTTCGGTTGGGCTGGATTTAGAGACCCAAATGCATCCCATTAGTGTTGCCTTTTTTGCATTGGGATCTATATATAGGCCCCATGGTGGTTGAGTCCTTTTTAGAGACCCCAATTGGGGAAACCCTAACTTCACCTACTTATAGCCCTTGTACTATTCAACTCTTAACTAATAATTCGACTAAGATATCGGAGAGTGGTAGGCCGGTATCACACCTATGCCATTTTTAGATGACCTTTTATTTCTATTATGTGGGGTGCCCACTAAGGCCCGTTTGTAATTGCGTTTTTTGGCCAAAAACCTGCTTCACTTTAAAGTTAAACAGTTTAAGGTGTTTGGTAAAAATAAAATATTTCGATTAGTTTAAAAGCAGTGGCCTTTTGACAGCAGCTTTTAAAAGTAGGTTGTGGATTGCTTTTCAAAGCTGCTTTCAAAAGAAGTAGAGATGAGCCTTTAATGAATTTTTTTAATTCCCAAAATACCATCATTCACTTTAAAAAATGACACTACCTCCACATCCACACCACCTCCATAACCAACACCACCACCACCACCACCACCACGACGCTGCCATTGCCACCACCACCTCCACCTCCACCTCCACAACCGCCATCCTCACCAACACCAACTCCACCTTCATCACCACCACCACCTTCACCTCCATCTCTTTCACCACCACATGATTAGCGCATAACACTTCAACATCATGTCTATTTTAGTCATTATTCACAGTTACAACAGTTTTATATTAAAATTTACCAAACGGTTTTGACACTGCGTTTTGTACTAACAGCACTTTAAAAATATTGTTTACCAAACATGGAGCTACTTTAATTTACAGCTAATTATTTTCAAAGCACAGTAGAATCAACTTTTTTTTGTAAAGTGACAGCAATCCCAAACTAAGCCTAAATAAAGCAAAAATCACCAAAATTTGCGTAGAAGCACGTGCGCTTTTTACAAGTTTTTTTTTTCTTCCTAATTTACAGATTTTTTTAAAATACAAACTCACTAAAATTGGATAAATAAATAAAAACTCACTAAAATCCAAATTAAAAGAAGAAAAAAAAAAAACAGAACAAAACAAGTTTCCGCTCATATTAGTTGAGCGAAATTGAGCACCAACACTAAAGAAACATGTCAAAGATATTCATTTCTAAATTTCGGGCTGGATTGTAACCTAATAGAATTAGAAGATTATGCGGGGTCAACGGGGTTTAGCTTAATGAAAAAGACTTTAATTTATAAATTAATGGTCTCAGGTTTAAACCAAACGAGCCCTAAATGCATATTTACAAAAACCAAATTCACATTTCATAATTGGTTCACCATCATGAAGAGATGTTATTGAAACCAAACTTTGACAAAAGGATTTTCTCAAGACAATAATTTTGCCAAAATTTGATTCTAACTGAAACAAAAATACATTTTTTTTAATCACTATTAACAAAGATGATTAAAATTTTATTAAATATTAATTATGATTGTTATTTTGTATATTTGTAATAAACATAACAACACAATTGATAATGTTTAACTTTTCTCTATAAAAAAAATAACAATTATTGATTAACTATAACATAACAAGCCATACTTATTTTTAGTGAAACGTTATAAACAAAATTATTAATGTAAAAAAGAAAAAGAAAAAGAAAAACAAAAAACTTAGCATAGCCAACCCATGGTGGGTCTTGGGTGCACAACCTTTTTAACACCCGTCCAAAGAAAGACCAAAACCAGGCCAGCCTAAACGTCGGAGAGTTGGACAATAATGAAGGGAAAAAAGGCCACCTATTTCACTCATTTTGCCGTATTGGGCTGGTTTGGCTCAAACTTTTCTTTGTGAGACTCTTCATTCCCTTTCAAGTTCAACTCAAAATATCACTTTTGTGCTTAAGTGGTGCTGCATGACTCAATTCAGTTAAAGTTTGGCATTTTTTGTGCTTAAGTGGTGTCGCAATTCAAGTTTTGTATCTATAACTAATTATATGTGTAGAAATTCCAAAGTTCAAACAAATTGAGCAATTTTTTTAAATTTTTTTTACATATGGCCAAAAGTGTAATAGATAGGGGGGGCTAAACACACCACGTGAGAAAGCTTCAAGCAGGGACGGAGCCACATATAGGCGTAGGATCTCCTTGGCCCTTCAAATTATATATTTTTCTAATGTATTTGTAATATTTTGGACAATATTGAAACCAAAATTCATGTAATGGTACCTCAATTAAAAAATTTGAACTTCTTAACCTTTTTGGCTCCTCTGCCAACTTTTTTTGATCGAAAAGAAATAAATTTCATTAACATGAAGCATTGGTTACAATAAAGTCATCAATAATATAATTAATTAGTCACTCAGCGCCTTCTTCTAACCAATAATAAAGACCTTATTGATTATGATTGTGATTGATACGATATTTATTGGAGAATCGACAATTTGTTCCTTAATCACTTCATATATATATAAAATTAATTTTCTCTAATTGGAAATATATTAATTTTGTGCCACCAGCCACCAGGTAAAGCGAGTTTGATGAAGCCAGCCTGTTATTGAATATTAAAAACCCATGGAATTATCACAAACACCACTATCTCTTTATCATCTTCAAAAGTCACATTATGATCATCTTTTTTTCTTTTCTTTTCCCACTAAATAAATTCACATGCATCCATCCTTGATCCTTTGCGTGTCGACGCTCACTTGCTAATTATAATATAGCAGTCAAGTCACGTATCTTCACAACCAAAAACCAAATCGAAACAGAAAACAAAAAGAACAGCATGTCTCATTTCACTTTCTATAAAGACCCATCATCATATAAAGATTCCTCGACACCTTTCAATCAAATTAATATCTATAATAATAATCTGTTACAAATCTCCTATTCTATCGGCTACGTTGTTAAACTATTAATTATGAAATTTAATAGGAATATATTCTCTTTATCATTAATTTGGTAAGAGAATGTTACTTTATCAAATCTTGAATATTAAGAATTATGAGATTCAGTTTGACATGTAACGTTGTCAAATTATGAATTTGAACCGATCGCTCAAATAAGTTGTGGTGTAGGGCGCTCGCATATAAGTATATATAAACAAGGCTCCCTCTATAAAGTTAGTCTCGTATTCATTAGTTTCTCAAAAGGCCCTTTTTGTGGAAAGAAGGGAAGGAAAAAATGATGCGTTTCTCTTCATTTTCCAAGATTGTCATCACTTTTCTGTTTCTGTTTCATAGCACAACTATGGGTTCTAACGATCTCATCCAACTCTCTTGCAAGAAGGCTTCACAAGGAGATCCAAATTTGAGCTACAAGTTTTGTGTTTCAAGCCTTGAGGCCAACGCCAAAGGCCATAGCTTAGACCTTCAAGAACTAGTCGTCATCTCACTCAACCTCACCATAGCCAATGCCACAAACATCAACTCCACCATTTCAAGGCTTTTGAAGGACAAAGCATTTGACAAATTTGCAAAGGAATGCTTGCGAGACTGCTCCGAGCTCTATGCTGACGCCATTCCTACCCTACGAGAAGCTCTTTGTGCTTTTCAGTCCAAGGATTTTGCTAAGGCCAATATAGAAGTGAGTTCTGCAATGGATGCTTCTTCTACATGTGAAGATGGCTTCAAGGAGAAGAAAGGTGAAGTGATTCCATTGAGAAAGGAGAATGATGTTTTCTTTCAACTGAACGCCATTTCTCTTGCTTTTATCAACACTTTGGCTTCAAATATATAGACGTTCTTTAGACTTAACTAAGCAGTATATATATTTCCACAAGAAATAAGCCAATAAGCTCGGCAGCCAGTAATTGTTCTTTGTATATATATGCGCTAATAAGCTCGGCAGCCAGTAATTGTTCTGTGTTTGTAAATTGTAAGTGCTTTTGGTAATGACAATTTGTTTTCCCAACTAACATGACATTGTATGCACATCATCGAATCGGCGGGATTTTTCAACGTAATCATGTAGCGTGCAAATCAAACGCAACGCCGGTTAGATTAGGTAACAAAAGTTCAGAGACCAACCAACTCTTGATCTAGTGATTTTGGTACGTTCTGAGGAGCTTTTGGCTTTTTGTTTCTTAGAACCTATGGTGAGTAGCGGAAGGTTTGATAAAATCTGTTCAATTAAGGAAAATAATTACTAAGCAAGGCTAATTGAGAAGACTCTCACCCTCACAATTCAATGCTTAATTCACTGAAACTAAAACAGGAACAACCTTATCACCATGGCTGGTCCAAGTTGCAAAGAAGATAAACAAGATGAAGCTAACCCAACAATAATATGAACTTCAACTTAACAGCCTAAATAATTGCCAAAGCACAGGTTCATCAGGAGACAACCCTTTCCAATGGACCAAAACTTTCTTCCCTTCGCTTCCGAATCGACGATCAAGAAGAGCTTGTGGCTTAAGATAAAGTGTATCATCAGATTTTCTTCCGATCTTAAATAAGCTCGTCCTGTTCCGATTACTTTTTTTTAATCGTTAGTGGAGGGATATTCAAACTTAGAACCTCTTCCAACATTCCCTCGTTCAATTAATTAAGTTTTGTAATAGGTCGAACATGTTATTGTTCAATATCTGAGCATGAGATCATGAGCTTATGGAGAAAAGAAATAAGCCACAAAGGTCTTCCCTTATCTACGGTATCTTATCCTCCTCCTAACAAAAGATTTGCCAATTTCCAACCAACGTTGTTTGTAACTCCCACGCTTAGATTGATGTTCAAAACGGTCCATTTATGTTTAATTAGCCAAAATATTCACACCTCCTCAGATCAGAAATGATTCGAATAAACAGTTTGAACAAACAATTTTGGCTAATTTATGCACATCTCTATCGAATTATCACTCCAACCCTAGACAGATGAACAAGTTGAAAGAGACATGTAACCCATTGTTGAGAAACTTGTCCATTCATAACAGGCTTAATGTAAATTGAAGACAAATAGCTCGCGTCGCCAAATGGCGATTCTGTTTTTAACAAATTTCACATGATAGCAATGCGAAAAATCTCGCTTCAAGTAATTTGAAATTACAAAAGCATGCCTCGTTCATATCTTCTTGTTGCAACTAACCCTAAATACAAAACATCAACTCTACATGTCAAGGTAGGGTAGGAAGTTCCACCTTGTCAAAGGAGAAGAAACTCGCTGATCCATAATCCACATGACAAAATTTTAAAGGAATGCTCCCACACTGTCTCTCGAGAGCTTCAAGGTCTAGTTTGGATGGCGGACGAGACCTAATCAAGAAAATTTAGAGTTGATAATTAAAGAAAGAGCAATCACAACTAATTACAAATAAAATAAATTTAGTTAAATTCTCAGAATTCACAAAACATAACTACCTAGTAAAACAAAGCACAAAACATGGATCTCCAGGAGAAGACTTCTTGAAGTTTTTGTTTGGGGCATAAACATCAAAAACCGGTCTTGCTTCATTACTCTGCATCTCATTGAACAATCCATTGGAAGAACTAGTGTCATTGGTTTCGAAGTCCACCGCCTCATCAATTTTAGGACAACCTTGAGAAGAAACAAATTCACACTTACTCTTCACGCCAATTGTAGACCAGGGGATACCATGCTGCCCAACAATGTACCCAAGGGATTTGAGTATCCTATACGCTTGAAATTCCTCCCAATACCACCTATTATTTTCATCTGAAATCTTCATATACATATCCTCCAAGGAAGTGCTAGTACCACTATCATCCAAGAGACGCAAATGCCCTTTTTCAACTAAAAACCTTCAATACAATTGTTAATGTTAATGAACAATTTCATCTCCACTTGATAAGAAAGAGAAAAATTTCATGATGATGAATACTATCAGACTTTGCTTTTATACAAAGCATCAATTATTTTACAATTCAAGTTTTGTTTATAGTGCACACCAATTTTAGCTCACATTAAAATTGACTTCATAATAGAGTTTTTGTGGAGCTCCACACAAACTTGTTCATGCAAGTACCAGACATTTTTATATTTAAATTATTGATAATGAAGTAATGAACAACATATAAAACAACTAATAGGTCATGTATTCTTTGAAAAGCAAAGCCTTCAGCTACAAACAGAAGATTCAAAACTTCAGGCTAATTGAGGGGAAAAAGCTTAGATGTGTGGATGGTAAGATAGTGAAATGAAGTGAATCAAAATTTATTAATTCGAATTCTTTACTGTTAAGTCTACCCATATCTTACAAGAAGTTTGAGATTTTAAAAATTTGCAATCTAAAATCACAAACACTATGAGTGCAAGAATCACAATTGAGTATATGTTTCACTTACAAAACTTCATAAATAGAGCAATAGAGCTTGTTGCCGCTCCGGATAACTCCTATGTTCTTCCAATTTGTACCCTCAAGAACAATGACCTCAGCCATGCCCATCTCATGATTCCAATGTGCTTTGGATATGCAAGACCTAAAAAAGAGCCCAAAAGTTCAACTTAAGACCTATATAGAAAACATCCTGAAACATTATTTACTTGCAGCTTGGATGCAGACTCTTCGGTATCACCAACAATCTTTTCATCATTAGCAGCCTCAATTCTATTCAGAGTCAGACAGGATCCACAAGCACATATCTCCCCTTGCCCCATCTAAAACACAGCCGTATGAGTTCCAAACGAATATCGGAGAAAACAAGATGTTAAAAACAAAAACCCAGAAAACAAAATAAAACCTTTTTTTACACAGAAAAAGTTTTCATGTTTCAACCTATTTGATTGAAACTTACTGAACCCATGTTTGGACGCATTTAGATGTTCCCTTTAATATATTTTTAAACTTGTGTGAATTTGGTTGTATTCGTTTGTGAGTGATTCTGGATAGGCCAAAATCACTTTTATAGATAATCAGTTCTCCCAAACGAGCCCGAAGTGTAGGATTTGATTTTCAGCACACAGAACAGATTATGATTTGTTTCATGAACAATGCCAAGTTGCCAACAATATATGAATTCATGAATAAAGTCTAATGAGACTCACTCAATACGAAATTCTGCATTGCACACTTATATATTTCCCTACTATGGCATTGGCATCCATGATTTTAAACTCACCATTAAACCCGCACTTACAAAAACTACAAGGAGATATAAAAAATTAAAAAACATAAGAAATAAATATAAAAAAAAAACCATAGAAAAATTACCAGAAAATTGCACGCCTGTTCCTTCAAATCCTCAGAGTTGAGCACACTCATCCTAGCCGCTAGGGCCTCAACCACCTGATTATTATTGCCGCTGCCGCACGCCCCAGCTGCCTGGGGATTCGGGGCGCTTCCTGGGTCAGCCCATACGGGTGGCGCATCGGACTGGTGACCCGACCCGACTCCTCCACTACGGTCGTCCTCGGCGCCTTGAGTGTTGAATTTGAGGAAGGTGAAGGCGTCGTCGTCGGTGCCCATGTTCGGCTGCGACGTCGTTTCAGAGAGACTATTTAGTGTTTGGTTAACAGAGAAAAAAAAAACAATTATTGTGAATAAGTGCTTTGAGAGAGAGAAAGCAAATAGGCAAAAGCCGTTGAGGAGGCGCTGGGCACTGGGGTTCAATGAAATTTACAAACTTCCGAAAATACCCCAATATGTTTTCTTTCACGCTCTCCCTTCTACTTCCCGCGCCATCTCTTCACAGAGCTCACTCTTCTCCTTGTCTTCCATTCTTCCCTTTTTTTTTTTTTTTTTCTTTTTTTTTTTTCCTTGTTGGATCAATTAAAGCGGATTCCTGAGAAGCCACAAGACTCAGGTAAGAGGGCATATTATGTTTATTTTTCAATTTCGTTCTTCCCTCTTTCTCTTTAATTTCTAGGGTTTTAACTCTCAATTGTTGTTGCTGTTGGTTTTCTATATTGGGTAGTTTCCATAGATAGTCACTGAATTGCTCATGATAAGATTTATTTTTATTCTGGTCTGTTAATTTAGGGGATTTACATCATGGGTAGCTTTGGTTACTTAGAAATTTATACAACCATATCTTCTTCAAGGGTTTTGTTAGAAGTTTCTGGTTGTGTTTGCTCGTTCCTTGGGGACCTTTGTCTGGTATTGAGACAGAATATTATTCTAAAAGGTTGTTTGCTCAATGTTTGGTGTTTTGGCTCGTGATCTCCTCTGTACTTGCATCAGCTGCATGTGAAGGTTCAGTAAATGATGGCACATCTGCACATATGAATTTCAATCGTATGTGCATCAGCTCCATTGTTATATGGCATTGTTTTAGTACTCTGACTGTCAATCATACTATAAACTAAATATATTAGAAACATGCATTTATTAGTCATTTATTATGTAGCTTTGTTCATAAGGACAATTTGAATTGCATCTTACAGTTTTCATCTTTCATTTTTTCTAGAAAGTGGAATAGATTCAATAGAGACATATTTGCATATGGTTAGTAGTTTATATAGTTTGTATATCTGCATATGTTTTCTGTCTCATGGGGCTGAGTTGCATCTTACAGTTCACCTATCATATTAGACATTTTTGCATTAGTGTGCTTGAAGTGTTTTTGAAATCCTTCACATATCAATTTGTGCAGGAATTCTAATCGCTATGATATGGCAAAAATTCAGAGTTTCATGATTTTTTTTGTTAATGTGTGTGTGTTGGGCGGGTAATTGTTGCTCTCTTACGATATCTTGTTTTTCCCTTTGTTTTGTTTGTTTAGGGTAGCCTGATGGATGATTATCAGGAAATGGAAAGGTTTGGTATAGAGAAGGATTATGAGGACAGTCAATGGATTCGTGGCGAGTTCTATTATCGCAAGCTCAAGGATAAGCGCGTCCAGACCAAAGACGATGTACTCTATGGCATATTCTCTGCTGATTCCGACGATGATGAAGACAATGAGGGCTCCAGAAAACGCAGGAAAGACCAAAAGGTCGACCTCACCAAGCCCGTCAATTTTGTCTCCACTGGCATTGTCTTGCCCAACCAGGAGATGGACAAAAATTTAAAGCAGCAAAATGATGACCTCAGTGCTAGCGGCGTTGGCACTAGTGGCCTTGGCTTTGGTGCCGCTACGGGTTCAGGTTTGGGTTTTAATAATTTGAATTCCGGTTTGGGTTTGAATAATTTGAATTTTGATTGCACTGGGGGAGAGGAGGAAGATGAGGAAAACGAAACCAATTTTCTGCCGACGGCATTTGGGAAGAAAATAAAGGAGGGAGCAGAGAGGAGACTGAAGGAGAGGGAAAAGCTCAAATTGCTCAAGCAGACTACTAGTCAATCTCGAAGTCATAGAGATTCTGAGGAATCTCAGTTTGGACTAGGAGGAGCAAGGGGGGGCGACGGGGATGGGGGCCTTCGAGAAACACACCAAGGGCATTGGGATGAAGATGCTTAAGAACATGGGATACAAAGGAGGTGGGCTTGGCAAGAATGAGCAAGGGATTCTCGATCCTATTGAAGCTAAGTTGAGGCCAAAAAATATGGGTATGGGTTTTAATGATTACAAAGAGACGGAAATCAAGCAGTCTAGCTTGCAAGAATTGGAAGCTGAAAAGCCGAACAAGCCTTTGCCCACTGCTAGTGCCACCAACACCACCAAAAAGAGGCTTTCCTGGAAAAAGGCCGTGGCCAACAGGGCTAACAAGGATCAGTATGTCTCTGCCAAGGAGTTGTTAGCCAAGAAGCAGGAAGAGAGTACTGAGGTCTTTGTGCACAAGGTAGTTGATATGCGTGGACCCCAGGTTCGAGTCTTGACCAATTTGGAGAATTTGAATGCCAAAGAGAAAGCCAGGGAAGAGGATGTTCCCATGCCTGAGCTACAACATAACTTGAGGTTGATTCTGGACTTAGCTGAGCTCGATATCCAAAAGATTGATAGGGATCTGAGGAATGAGAGGGACACGGCGATCAGCTTGAACCAGGAGAAAGAGAGGCTGGCAACGGAGGTGGCCAGACAGAAGCAACACTTGGATAACTTGGAGGATATTATGAGTGTGTTGGACCGACTGGGAGACGAGAATGTCATGGGAACATTGACGCTGGAGTCACTGGCAAAGGGCTTTGGTGACCTGCAGAAGAGATACGCTGACGACTATAAAATATGTAACTTGTCGTGCATTGCCTGTTCTTTTGCTCTGCCTCTGTTTATCAGGATGTTTCAAGGTTGGGATCCTCTTAGGAACCCCTCGCATGGATTGAATGTGGTATCCTCATGGAAGCATTTGCTTCATGGAGAGGGGGAGTGAGAACGGTACCTTGATATCTTTGATAATACAATGTCGCCTTATACCCAGTTGGTTTCTGAGGTTGTGGTACCCGCAGTGAGGATTGCTGGCATCAATACATGGCAAGCCAAGGACCCTGAATCCATGCTTCGCTTTTTGGAGTATTGGGAGAAATTGATACCCTCTTCCGTCCTTCGTGCCATACTGGATATGGTAGTCTTTCCCAAATTGAAGGACGCAGTTGACTTGTGGGAACCTCACCGTGACACTGTTCCCATCCATGTGTGGGTGCATCCATGGCTACCACTCTTGGGATACAAGTTGGAGGAGTTGTATCACACAATACGCTTCAAGTTGAGTAATGTTCTCGGTGCATGGGACCCCAGTGATGCCTCTGCCTATGCCATACTTTCGCCGTGGAAGAAGGTGTTTGATTCAGCCAGTTGGGAACAGCTCATGCATAGATTTATAGTACCCAAGTTGCAGCTTGTCCTACAAGACTTCCAAGTGAACCCTGCAAATCAGAGACTTGATCAGTTTAATTGGGTGATGAGTTGGGCTTCTGCTATTCCAATTCATCTAATGGTAGATATGATGGAGAAGTTTTTCTTCACCAAGTGGCTACAGGTTTTGTATCACTGGTTATGTTCGAACCCTAATTTTGAAGAGGTTTTGAATTGGTATAAAGGTTGGAAGGAACTCATTCCTGAGGAGCTTCATGCAAATGAAAGTATCCGGTATCAGTTTAATTGTGGTCTTGACATGATGAATCGGGCTGTTGAGGGTATGGAGGTGATCCAACCTGGTTTGAAGGAGAATATTAGCTACCTTAGGGTGCTTGAGCAAAGGCAATTTGAGGCACAACAGAAAGCAGCAGCAGCACAAGCAAACTTGGGTGGCACTGCTCACATGGATGGCATTGGTAATGAGATGAGCTTGAAAGATGTTATCGAAGCCCATGCGCAGCAGCATGGTCTGCTATTTAGGCCTAAACCCGGGCGGATGCATAATGGTCACCAGATATATGGCTTTGGTAATGTAAGCATAATAGTTGACTCTCTAAATCAAAAGGTATATGCCCAAACAGAGGAAAGCTGGTCTCTTGTATCCCTTGAAAGGTTGCTTGACATGCACAATAGTTCTCTTACAAGAAGACGCTGAGTTTTAGAAAGGCCTTTAAGAGTTGAAGGGATGTGTGGTGACTCTGTGCTGAGAATGGAGCTGGTGGATTAGGTTGTATGTGCAGTAGGCGTTGGTCATGGATTGAGGACTTAAAATATTAGCTTGTTCATTATTTTTCAGCCTGTCTTTGCCAGCCAGAATATCTTTTGTAAGGACTGATACTGCAAACTCTAACTTTGTCATTCATTAGCTTAGTTTTGCATTTGAATTTACTCCAGTAACTAGATTGTATAAATACATCTTTCAATTCTTTTGGGCTTCTTGTATAAGTATTGCTCTTTTTATTCCTAAATTTATTTTACAGTACAAGTTAGGATTTTGACATTTGGAGTTCTCTGTCTTGGCTGTTGATGAGTAAAAATGTAACTGGGTTTTGGATGAAGCTGGAGAAACAATTTATGAAGACTTCATATTGCTTTCCAAAAGCTAATTGATGAACTTGTAACGTTCAGCATACTAAGAGGTTTGTAATTTCTTCTTTGTTTACTTGTATGATAGGCGTTATCTTTGACAACTCGGAATCGCCTTTTTGAGCTTTAAGCAGATGTATATAGTTGAAGGGCTACTCAAATTTAAGGTTAAACCTGCGCATGAACTCTGTTCCACACCTTAGATGTTCCTAGAATTGTATGAATATTTCTTCATTTCAGATTCTAATCGTATTGGTCCAGAGATATAGGTGATTGTTGGCTTACGGTTATCTGATTGTAGTTAGAAGGGGGTATAATTATTGAGTGATATCAAATGATTGCCTTTAGAAATAAGGGATGAAATAAAGAAAATGAAGTCGTCGTACGTTGATGTGTCTTTTGTAGTGAAGATATGTATTGTCTTTCATGTTTTTGTACACTTCTAATTTCTCGGACTCTTCACAATATCATATTCAATGCATTTTCGGATGTCTATTTATAGGCAGAATTTTTAATGTCGTATTCGTGAAATTTTTTCAAATATATAAGCGATATTGAAGAAGAGGATTCAATTTTTCATGTAAAATTATTGCATACCATTCCTATGAGCGATAGTGAGTCAATTTATTTCTCAATTACATCCAAATTTATTTATATTACAACGTAATTTTGGGGGGGGGGAGCTGGGGGCGGGGG